GTACTGTGTTTATTAAGTCCTGAAAAAAATATTGGTAAATAGTGTTTTTAAAAACAATTTTCATGAAACGACGAGTTTTGTGACTTCCACCTACTTCAAGTATTATTTAAGAATTGAAATATCTAAATATTATCGCTCTAATAGTATTGTGCACCACTAGTAGTAGTACAATTTGTATTTTTACACACAATATGGATAAAAAAAATAAACCTTTTTACCTAAAGCGAAGCGTAATTCACTCATGAAGCGCACATTATCATAGTGCTGAGTGGTTAAGCATACTAATAATTGCACACGCTTGGGCGTGGTGGGCAAATGAGTACGTGCATTTTGACCTAGGTCGTTCGGCCCAAAACACCCGCACGTAGTTCGAGTGTGGTCCATTATGTCATTCACAGAGCTGTTTAGAGTGTTCATTTGAGGGGGCGGGTATTATTCATAACCTTTCATTGATATGGAATGGGCCTTGCATCTCACTACATGTAGTTATCCTTGTAGCAATGTGTTGCCGTATCTGTCGCGCTACCACGTCTACGCTGGGGTGCCGTAACATCGTTAGATGCGTGCAGTCTGAAATGGTAGATACAGCTGTGATATCAATTCCAAGTGCTCGATACAGCGAGATGTCTGCGCTCCACCGCTGCGTCATGTACAAGTCAGCTTGGAGCCACACTGGCGGCTGTGAACTGGAACACGCAGTCTCCACTTCCGCCGTTGTGTACGGCTGGTACATCTCTTCCATGGCGCAAAAGTGGATATAGTTGTCTCCTAATGGACGTAGCAGGGCGTCTCCGAATGCTTCATTCGTATACTGTTCAATGCGAAGTCGAGTCGCAGTCGCTTCCTCCTCGGTAACTTGCTTGGAGCTCGGCATCTCGAATGGTAGGCCGTCCAGCAGAATAAGAGGCACAAGTTCGTGTCCCTCTCTCACCGCTAAGCGTGCTACTTCGTGGGCTACACGGCAGCCGAACGAGAAGCCTCCGAGAGCATACGGACCTTCGTTCTGACGAGTACGGATACTATTCCAGTAGAATTTAGCGAGTTCTTCAAGACTAGAAAACTGCGAGTTGGTTGCTTGAACTCCGACGACCGCAAGCGGCAATTGTCGAGCTAGTTCCAGCAGGTTCCAGACAGTCCCGTCAGCGTCATGAAACAGGAAAACTGTGCGTGTATTCTTCGCTGTGGGCCAGTTAAGTGGCACTAGCGTCTCCGATGTCCACTGACGTAAATCCACCATCGAAGCTGCAGCCCTTCGAGCCATTTCAGGCAGCGATGACGTGCGGAAGAACTGCTCAAGGGCTAAGGAGAGTCCCCGTGCTTGCGCAAGAGCAATCGCTCGGATAGCCGCCAGCGAATCGCCACCCAGTTCGAAGAAAGACTTGGACATTAAGTTCGCTTCGAGTTTGTCGTCCATGTCTTGGTCACCATCCACAGGCTGGAGCTCTAGAGCCTGCATCCACACCTGCCGTAAAATGTCCGTAGCTAACTGTACTGTAATAGTAGACTCTTTCTTTTGTTCTCCAGGACGAGAGTCTGTCGAGTTTGAGCCAGCCCAACTTGCGAGCGTTCGAAGATCGATCTTCCCGTTTGGTGTGCGTGGCCAGCTACTGACAACTTGAATCGACTGAGGCACCATGTGAAGTGGAAGGTGCTGGTCAAGATACGCGCGTAACTCGGTTAAATAACCGTCTCGGACCGATAATTCGTCGATACTCTCAGCTGGCATGACGAAAGCTACGAGCGTCGACGACATTTGCCGTTGCTTCTGACCGGGCGAGGTCAACTGAGGAACTGAGAGCACCTCAGCTGCCTTGATGCTTGAAGAGCGCAGTAGAATGTTGCGCACTTCTTGTAGCTCGACTCGCATCCCATGAAGCTTCACTTGTGCATCTGTGCGTCCGAGAAACACCAACTCGCCACTAGGTAGCCATTTCACCAAATCCCCAGTTTTGTACCATCTTCGTGTTCGCTTCTGAGCTAGTGACGCGATTTCTTCGAGTTTTTTGTGAAGAACGAACGAGTTCTCGGTGAGTTCTGGACGACGCCAATAGCCACGAGCCACCCCTGCTCCACCAATGTACAACTCACCAGGGACGTTCACTGGAACGAGTCTTCTCTGAGCATCCAGCACTACCACCGGATGCTCGTCTATCGGTTTTCCGATGGGTACACTATGAAGTCCTTGAAAAAGACTTGACTCGTTCTGCATCGCCAGTTCTCGAGGCATCCGAAAAGCTGTCGAAGTTATCGACGCCTCAGTGGGTCCGTATTCATTGACAAGACACGTAGAACAGGCCGGGTGTTTCTTGTAGAATTGACGTGCAAGTTCAATGGGAAAAGCCTCACCCGCCAGTATAACGTGCTTGATGGAAGCTGGAAAAGTATCACCGTTTTCACTCATATAGTCCACGATCAGCGAGAAATATGACGGCACAAATACACAAAACGAGATGTGAGGAGCTTCCAGCAGCACATTTCGCATGTACTGCAGATCGTGGAGCCCCTTTGGACGAGTGATTCGTGCGCTTCCGCCAACGAGTAAAGGCGAAAAAAGTTGAGATAACGAGCCGTCCAGAGTCGTCGATGTGCTCTGGAGGAAAACGTCACTTGACGTCACTTCATACGTGCGTACAGTCCACCAAAGAGTTGTCATTAAAGCAGCGTGAGGCACTACAACGCCCTTCGGATCACCTGTCGACTAATATTTATGGTTAGTAAAAGAAAGGATCACAATAAGAAAAAAATACCGTACCCCAGAGGTGTAGAGGATGTAAGCAGTTGCTGTATCGGGGTCTAGCTTCTGTCTCTTCAGAAGCCTCGATTCGCTGTCAAACTCGTCATCTCTTGCACATCCATCGCTAGACGAGGTTAGACGATCTACATCTTCGTAGTTTAAAACTCGTGGGGCAAGTTCTTCCTCTGACTCTCGTGACGACACAAACGCAGCGATCTCTGCGTGTTTCCGTTGCGTGATGATCACTTGAAGTTCGCTGTCACGAGTCATATAACGCAGACGCTCACGAGGAAACTCGGGGTCAAGCGGCACAAAAACTGCCCCCCAAACCGCATATTTCCGATCATGGCTGCAACATTTTCCACTCCTCGATCCAAGAGCAGACCGATATGAAGCTCAGCGGAACAACCAGAGATATCCAGCATGCACAAGGCTCTGGTGACGCGGCAGCTGTACTTCCACAAGTCCTGGTATGTCCACTGCGTGCCCTCAAAGTGAAGGGCTGGGTGATCCGGGGTTTTCCACACTTGAGCAAGCAAACATTCGTCTAGAAACTCTGAAGGCGGTCTAAGTAAAGCTGGAGGCCTTGGCATACCCCATACAGAGACAAGCTGCTCTCGTTCGGACCTGGAGAGCATGGAAATGGCTGGAGATCTCACTAAAGCAGTAGGAGAGCTCGTCACTTGTTCCATTAATGCCGTGG